ATTCGCAAGTGAGAAATTTCAAGACAACGTCCCCTAATGACAGTTTTTCAGTTGGAACATTCAGATCACATGCGTATATTTGTACCTGACATCAGGCTCTAATGTTTTTCACTACATAATATGTTCAGAAGAATAACACAAAAGTGCTAGAGGACCAAACCTGAGTCCAAGTTTTGACGAGGTCACTTTAAAGTCACTTATCTCATAAGAGTAAACTCTCAAATAAATCAGTCTTCAAATAGGCTTGGCATTTTAAAAACTTTTGAAAATAAAGACTTTTGACCAAGCTTCAGAGAGCCTACCTAGATGGTGACCTGAAGTACAGCTGTCAATGAAATGTATTCATTTTGTAAGTATCTAATTTTCTTACCTGGCTCCACCAAACCTCGCTCAGGTGCTGCTTCCCATTCTGGTTTGGTTTCTGGAACAGGAGGAGGGGGGCCACTAGACGGTCTTACAGAGAGAGCTGGGGGCACAGCTTTAGCAGCTTCCCCAGGGAGCACAGGTGTGACCTCCGCCTTCTGGGATGCAGAGCTTTTCCGACTCTTGCTGCCAGGGAGTAGGGAAGTGACCTCCATTTCAAGGAGCAGGGGTTTTTCATAGCCTTTTGCTTTGGTAGAGCCATCTGTGTCCAGGGCTTGTGCAGGTGGACCTTTCATAGAGGTGACAAAGAGCAGAAGCATTTCTTTTCCCATATGTACTGAAGAATCATAGTTTGCATGCTGCAAATGTGCAAATTTAGTAGAATCTGCACATTTTTCAGACATGCATGTGGCTCTCTTGCCTACAGGTATGAGACTACCTGGTGGTAACAGCTCATTTTCTTTTAGACAAGCAATGTGATTAGTTAAAGGAATGGCTATTTGTTCTGGAATTTGCTCGACATAAGTAGCCCCTTCAGTCATAAGTTCATCTTTATAGATACATGTTTTATGAATGGTTGACGTAACCTCAGTACCAGCCTGCAAAGGGACCTCAAGAGCTTGATCATAAGCAGGAAGTTCTTGTCCATCCTGCAAGGGGAGTGAGGAAGCCAATGATGAGGGTGAGGTAGTAATCTTAGATGTGGATGGTTCTGAAGGACCGCGGACTGCTTCACTTGTCTCCTCAGGCTCTGGGAGCTGCTCTGCACGAACTGATGGGAACTGAGCGATTTTGTTGCTAAACAGTGGTCCAGTTGTATTGTCCTCCTCTGTGTCTGTAGATTTTTCCATCCATGTAGGTTCTTGGGAAACTCTAGGTGTTTCTCTTGGTTCTTTTACAGATTCTTGTTTATTCTCTTGTGTGGTTCCTTCTGACCACTTCTCAACTACAATAACAGCCAGATGATTAATAAGCATATATCCCAGAAATGAAGAATTTTAAAGAAAGCAGCAATAAACTGAGTGTTCAAATGTCAATATATACACAAGTACAAAAGAGTTTTGCTTTATTTTCCAATATCTGTGATTTAGTGCAAGTAATGAAACTTCCCTGATCTATCCAATCAGAAGACACCTCAGTTCATCTCCTTAGAAATAAGTGATTCCAAGTAGCACAGTGACAAAACTAATAACCAGATACCAGTTTCGGCTGGTCAGCAAAAGAGGAAAGATCCTAACTCTGCCTAGAGATAAGGAAGCTGAAAACCTCCATGGAAAAAGCTGCTGATCCAAACTTCCACATACAACTAAGAAAGAAAAAAAAAAAGATTTCTGTCTGGTCAATAAATATCTAATCTTCAGCTGGTATAATAACAGTAATGAAACAAATGCTGTCATATTAATAAAGTCATTTTCTTCAATTTAGGTAAATATATATATTAACTTATTGGAAAACTAGAGGATAGGGCATTTTTACGTTAGGAAACATCATATATTCCAACCTAAAAATGGTAGCACCTGCTGGCGAGTTGTGAAAATGCAGCCAGAGTCCTACTGTTCCAGACAAGAGGAGCAGAGATGAGATCTGGGTCCATCAGCATGGACTCCATGAATCCTCAGGCATGAGGAAAATGCCTTGGAAGGCTTGGGAGGCCAAGACAGCTGGTGACATTCAGAAACTACTAGAACTGGAAAACTAAAATCATTTTCTGCTTGTCGCCCACACACCTGTGTTTGTTACTCGCTGAACATTTTCGTTGTTACTCGCTGAACATTTTCATACCTGCTTGTTTTACTGAGGATTTTCTCTTGTGGAAGCGTTTCCCTAATATAATGAAATCTGCAGGGAAAGTGAAATTTGTTTTACAAGAATGTGTTTGCATCAAGTCAAAACTTGGTTTGGAGACATGTGTTTTCCTAGGTTCAGCTGCTTACCGAGAACAGTGTCTCCTTCGGCCATAGCTGCTGATTTCTTGTAAACTCAAGTCAGATGTCTAGTTCTGGACATGGCTACCACACCAAATGCCTGCATGCAGAGAAAGAAAAGCTACATCTACTCTTGCCTCCCTGTGCTTAGAACAATAACCTAATTTTCCCAACTGTTCCCCTCTTCGGGACTTCCCCACCCACTTTTTAACAAAACCCTTTATCCACTAATACACTTGACTGAGTGCTTGTGCTCTGGCACAGTGTACCAGGCACTGTTGTGGACATAAACATTATTAAGGTGAGGCCTCATAAAGCCTACATTCAGTAGGGGAGAAAAGACAGATATACAAATATTATAGGTAAAAAGGTATAAGTGCCTAATAATAGTCCTAATAAAGATCTATGGACATTCAGAGGAAGAAAAGAACAACTCTTTCTGGGGGAATAAGGGAAATTTTATTTAAATAAGTCTGGCTTTACACCTAAGATATAGAAAGCTGAAAAAAATATCATTCCCATTATAAGGAGAAAAAGCCAGATAAATCACAAAATAATTTTTCTTGAGCCCATCAGAAAAGAGAGCCACAAAGCAATGAAGTAACCTGACTTCCAAAGTGCAACCTGCCCCTCCAAAGAGAAAAAGGTCACAAGAACCGTCTGATCTGTGGCAGGGCCCGGAAAGGAGAGGCCACCACCATGCCAGCTGGTAAGGTATCAGCTAAAACATTAATGTACTGGGGAAGGCCAAATGTGGGATAGGATATCAGTGCATAGCCTGGGACCCCAGGCCCAAAGAGAGTGCAGCTCACTCACAAGCACTTTTCCATGGGCCTCACATGGAGGATGGAAGCAGGAGAGATGACCGGAGAGAGGGACCCACATCAACACCCACCAGAGGTCTCTTACCACTGGGCAGGGGCAGGAAACTGGCTCACGACTGACCACACATACAAGGCAGAGTTTGGCTGCCACAAGGGCAACCAGCCAAAACACAGAAAGGCCCACCCCCAAGGCTCAGGTGCTCAGGGCCAGCCCAGACCAGAGAACCCCCCTGCACTGACCACCAGCCTAGTACCAATAACAAGAAACAGCACGCTGCCCCCAAGTGAGGAGCAAGAGTATGGGGAGAGACGCCCTCTGGGGTGCAGATTGGTGTGGAAAGCTGAGGGCGAAGCCCAGGCATGGAGAAACACCTTGGCACCCCAACCTCGTCCTCAGCACAAGGTAACAGCAGCCCATTGCTGAAGGGATTTGAGGCCTGGGGGTACAGTGGAGGTGATGAAAACCACCACAAACCCAAGCCCAGCTTCTGACTACACTCCAACACCGATTCAAGGCCTCTGTGACTCTGTTGTCCCCCCAGAAGGCCTTACATTCCCCAGTGATTTATTCACCATGAAATTTTCCAGAACCCAACTAATCTCAGGATGGAATTACTGCAATCCCTCAATTGCCTGCACAGGGCCTCTGATCCATCACCTACGTGATACGTTTTCAGCAACCCTGGAAAGGCTCCTACCTGACAGGCTTGTCATACCTGGAATTCTGTCTAGGAGGTGAATCCCCAGGCTTAATATTTTTGCCTCTAGAAGTCCCCTATTAAACAACACCATTCTAGGAGGGTAAAGCATTATATAATTGTGAATCATAAACAACTCGTCGGGGAATTTATGACACTGCTTTCTTCCCTGAACTTTTTCATAGGAAAAGAGTACATAAGAAGACCTGGATTTCGGTCCTGACTATGATTTAATAGCTGCATGAACCTGTCTAAGGCAACAGTTCTGAGCTTCAGCCTCTTCGTCTGTGAAATGGGGATTATAATTCGAATTTACCAAAGTTTCTGGATAGCAGAGTGGTAACTTATAAGGCCCAGAATGTTCTTCTTTCACATGTTGACTCTTGGATCCTAGTGTTCCTGACCTCATCTTGGCAACCTGGTTTCCTGTTACAGTTTTCCTGGTTTGCTATATCTGCTTCCCACCCAGCCCCCTCCTCTCTTAATCCTGACCCTGTGTTTCTGTCCCCAGTCTGACAATATGACCCAATTCTTGAATATACTATTGCTCAATAATTTATTTGCCTTCTTTAGTATGGACTATTCTCGAACTGATTAATCTTACCAGAATGGAAAAGGACATAAGATCAGATGATCATTCAAAACTTTTTTAAACTTAATGAAATTCTTACCTTGGTAATGAAATTCTTAATAACCTTACCTAGGCAAATGCAAGACTTTAAGAAATAAACGGGCCATTTTGGCATAATACCTATCTCTCTATTTAGAGAATTAGCCTAGCCTTACTTGAAAAAATGCCAGGAAAAGTGCAGAGTAGCATCAGAGCTTTACAGAATTTTGTATGGATAGTCCAGAAATAAATATATTCCTTGTTTGTTTAATAAAAGTGTATAGCCAAAAGTATGTGTAATGAACTATAAAAATAATGCATAAAAATAGAATTTGGCATAAAAAACTAAAAACATTTATTATGACTATTTAATATGAATAAATAACTCTAGGCAATATTTAATGACATGTGTAACTGCTATGGTGCTGCATAGGAATTGAAATTGGGCCCAATGATCAGCAGCAGTTCATGACTATACAATAAAATATCCCTGAACCACAGTGATTCACTCTCCTGCCCCTTCAGATGCTGACTCTTATTATTCTTAATCTTGCTTTCTGTTTTGAGTGTCTCTTCACTGCAGGTCTAAACCTTCATGATTTTTACATTTTCCTAGGTCTTAATCCTGATTTCTCCCTATCTTGGCTATGTTATCTATTAACATCACCAAAGTGGCAGAGTATAAAATGTGGCTGAAGCTCACTGATCCTATCTTTTCTTTCTCTACAATCATTCCAAAATGTTGGTCAGTCAATGTAGCAAGTTATTTCCCACACTGACCATGAGTCTCCATTCTCCACAAAATTCTGCCAAAACCTTTTTCTTGTCATTCTTTTAGACATGAGTGCCTGTCCTTGGGATTCAACCAATTAATCACTTACAGTGATCTTCCCAAATTTTCATCATGTGAACTTTGCCTTTCTCATTTCTTAGCCTCTGACTTTTTCATCACTCCTCTGTCCACTCAGTTCCATGCCGTCATGTTCACATTTACACACACACACACACACACACACACACACACACACATACACACACACATAAAACACAACTGTTTTTCTAAGCAGATATATACAGCCCTATGTCAGAGAAGCTGGAGGAGATGACTTTCTGAGAAACTTATCTCTTCACTAACATAGAGAGACACACAGAAAAGATGGTCAGTGGCACCTAATTTATTTCCTGTCCTCCATCCTGGACTGCAGTGAAACCATCATGGGGCGAAAGAAAGGGGAGGGTTGTTCAACTTCTTTTTTGTAACGTAATTTAATTTTTTATATCAGTTTCAGGTGTACAAAGCAACATAATGATTAGACATTTACACCCCTCACAAAGTGATAACCCCCTCCCAAGTTTACTACCTCTCTGATATCATATGTAGCTGTTACAATAATACCATTGACTATATTCCCTATGGCTGTACTTTTATTCTACATCAGCTTCAGGTGTACAGTGCAGTAGTCAGGTACCTACACAGTCTATGAAGTGATCCCCCCGAATAAGTCCAGTACCCATCTGGCACCCTACATAATCTTTACATTATTGATTATATTCCCTGTACTGCATTGTTAAACTTCTTTATAAAAAAGAATTCCCGGGAGAGTGTTTATACAACTTTCCTAAGTAATGTATTTCATTATAACGTTAGTCTTTATTTCTACAAAATCCAATTCTCTTCAATTTCACTGTACGTCCCTAAAAAACAGGGCATATTGGAAAGGGTTTGAGTCGTAATTTACAAACACTGTTCTAGGTCTCATTGTACCAAATGGTTTTCTAAAGATGTTTCCTATCTTTGCTTTTTTAAGACAAATGTCGGTCCCCAGATTAAAAAAAAAAGATTCAATAATAAAAATAAAGCATTAGTTTGATTATTTAAACATAAACAGTGTGATTATCTAAACAGAAAATATTTGTGGGCATGTTTTTTAAGTTTGATGTATGCTTTTAATGAAGAAATAGTTTATAACTAGTATTCTTATACTATTACCACCTGTGGTACTTACCTATAAATCGATGAAATTGTTTAATCAGGTTTTTTATATCCAGAGAAGCATTCCCTGAAGGAATAAATACAGGAAATTAGATACAAAAAATTCCAATTTAAAATGCTTTCTTTTTCACAGCAACAAATATTTAATCTAAAGCAATAACAAACCTTCTCTAAACGCAATAAGTTCTTCAAAATAAAATGCTGCAAACTTGGTGATGTTTTGCGGGTTGGTTTCAAGAACAGCTCTGCTGAGTCCCTGGAGCACAATGTCGAGGCCATAAGGTGTGAGAAGTCTGGGCTTTGAAGAAATCGTTGTGTCAGGTTGTCTGTAATCTGAACTCTAACAAAGAAAAAAAAAAGTCTTATATATAGTGCATTCGTTTTTTATTAAAATATTTATGAGTTAACTATAGTTTCTAAGAAAAAACCTATCTCCTATTAAAATTACTAGCTTTAGTTCTAATCTCTCAGTATTTATTCTAGTGAAATGGGCTAATTCTTGATGATAGTTAAAAAAAAATCACGTTACCAATAGCCCTTTTTATGTGCAGGTGAGCAATCTAGTACTATTAAAGAAATCCATGGAGAAAGCCCTGCCTGGAACTTCAGATGATATTAAAAACAAAGAGCAGAAAACCAACCAAACAAACAAAACCTGTTTCTGTAAACTTCAGCAAATATTTTGTGCAAGAAAATAAATTAAGCTCATTTATCGGTGTCCAAACAACCTCCTACTAAACCACATGGGCACTGGCTTTTTTGAACATTCTTCAATTAGAGTTACAAAGTGGAGTTTCTACAAGAAATGTGGTTTTTTTCTCATTTTTCTAAATATATCCCTGGACACATTGATCATCTTTAAGTATATATATTTTTAGCTTTAAATTTAGTTTAGTTTTGTTTTTTTAACATTAATCAGAATAGGTATAAGCTACATGTGGTATCATACCACTCACCACCATATATACCGCCTTCTTTTCTCATATCCTCCCTTAACCTATGCTGTAGTTTTCCCCTATTTCTCCCTTCTCCTGCCTATCTGGATCTTAAGTGGTACCAAGGGTACTGCATAGTACAACCTGTAATTCTCCGAATTGCAGAGGCTGCCACTCTAAACTGTGTGTGTGTGTGTTCTTGTTTCATTCTAAAAAACCATTTAAGAAGGCTTATAAATACACATAAAGAACAAAATTAAATATTTAAGGAAATCAGTCCAGTGATAAAAATAGGATGAAGCTACAGGTGAGGTTAGTATTCCAACACAAGCCATAGGGTCTACACTTGGTAAGAGATGGGGTGTCAAATCAGCCCCTGAGCTACCAAGTAGCCACTACAAGATAGGAAACAGTTGGTTAAATGATTCGGGTTTTCTGAGATAAAAAGCAAATCAGTTGCTTAGGAGAATCACAGCTGTTCCGGACACTGAGCCCCAGGAGAAATTTCTCTTATGGGTCCACATATAGATGACAATAGGGTGTGATATAATAAACAATGTCCTCAACATCCCTATAGTAGAGTAATGAGTTTCATGGAGCTGAGCGGCAATTTAGTTACAGCAATTATACAAAGGGCCAACCTCTAATAAAAAAGCAATTAATGTGTCATAGCAAAATGTTGAATATTTAAAAGCACATTTCATCTTCCTAAAGGTCAGGAATGACATTAATCTGGATTGACCAAAGCAAACCCTTCAAGAATGTAATTAAATGTATTGAATCCCTTAATGAAACCTTAATATCAGAGTATAATTCAACAGGAGTTTTACTGAATTAAACCATCTTTAAAAAAACCAGTAGTGCAGCTTTGGCAGGCCCACATAATAAAGGTTAAAAGACATAGGCAGTAATTGTGCTATATGATACATACATACATATATATGTATATGTATATACATAATTTTTTTTTAAGTACATCCTTTGCACCCCAGTATGAGTAGACAGGTCATACTTTCAAAAGTGGCTTATCAGTAGCCATGTTGGAGCTAACAAAACTCACTTTCTGCAGGCAGTTAGCAGTTGGTGCTACCAACTGTACGGAGAGTGGCCATGGAGAGTGACCCTAATCTTTGTCATCCCAGGCAGTATGTGAATGTGTGGGACCATTTAGTGCCCCAGGACCAAGGATGCTAAGCCTCCTACAAGCAATCCCATACAAGGAATTGTTCTGAGCAAGTTGAGAAATACTGTGACACCAAGCCTATCTACATCAAGAGGTAAAGTCACAAATACAGACACTGCGGGTTGTTTGAAAGGGAAAGCTTAATAATTGTTCTCAAATCTCTCTTTAAAGGATGTTTGTCAAAAACTAACCAATTTTGCAACCCCCATCCCTCGCGCCAAACTGTGAACTTGCGGTTAGCCACTACCATAGGGGTCACGCTCGCGTAGGAAAACAGTGCCTTTGGGTGAGGATGCCAGAGTTGGGGCTTCAGAACCTCAGAAAACGTAACCGGCACACACTAATTCCCTAAAGACCTACACCGGGGTCAGTGGGCCGCGCTGGGTCTGGGCTTGTTTAGTCCATTGGTTTGTTTGGTGGAGGAGGCAGTGAAATGTGGGAGACCAGGCATCCTGATTTCGCATCCAATAGTTCAGGAGAAGCAGGTGATGGGTCCGCCAGTCCCCGGCCACATTGGCGCTGGTTGGCTTCTGCCACACTCACCGGTGCGTCCATCTCCCACTCCCACTCCGACGGCCCTCTTCTTTCCCCGACACTTGAGGAGCCCTCGTAAAATGACTCCGGCGTGATGGGGTGAATCGCTCCACCTTCTCCTCTCAGGCTACAGCTACATGCTAAAGAACTGCCTCCTTGCTGAAGGCTCCTAGAGGAGTCCGGCTCCCTGCAGTCCCAGCCAATAGGGAGTCCCAGCCAATAGGGAGCCGGTAGGGACAAAGGCCAGAATTCTGTATGAAATGAAACTGATATGTGCTCAAACGCTTCATGATTGTCTTGGCAGAGTTGGTCTGGCCTTGAGGTGATGTGATGGCATTGTGCCTGTCCCCTGAGGTCGTTCCAAAAGAAATGTGGGTGGTTAGCAAGCTCTACTCCATCATTTTACATTTGGAAAAACGAATGGCTGGAGAGCAGAAAGGTGGTCTGAAGTCAGCGGCAGGATCTTTGTAGTGATTCTAGGTAGTGATCTGCTTGATTTCTATGTGGTTTCTCCCTTGTCACGCCCAATGCTGGGTTCTGACCTGTGTTTAACCACCAGGGTGAGTACTCTCGGTATATTCCAATGATCATCTTGTGAGGGACAACTAATCTAACTCATTTTGCAGATTGGGGAGAGAGACAGACAAAATAAGCCATGCCCAAAGTTATACAGATATGAAGGGGTAGGATTTAGGAAAATTACATTGTGATCAAGAGCTCTGCCACTGCCTCACTGTGTAGCCTTGGGCAAGTTACTTAACCTCCTTCTGTCTCCATTGGTTCATTTGTAAAATGGAGTAATAATAGTACCTGCCTTAAAAGGATGTGGTGAGGGTTATTAATGCTTGTAAAGTACTTGGAAAAACGCCTGGCACATAGTATGAGCTCAATAAATGTCAGCCTGACACAAAACAAACAAAGCAACATATGATATGGTTTTGCCCGCTTCTAAAGTTTGTATTCTCTCTGATAACCCCTGCTGTTTCCAAAGGAATCAGGCAATTGAATTCATACTAAGAAATCCGAGCAAGGGCCAGCTGAGTGGCGCGTTGGTTAAGAATTGACTTGGGATGCCAGAGGGCCCCGGTTCGGATCCCACATATGAGGGCCAGTGACACTGCCCTCCACAGCTAAGATGCTGAACAACAGCTCAACCTGTAGCTGGGCTGCCGTGAGTCCCCTGCAAAGTCATAGGCTGCATCCCCTGCTGCAGTGGGTTGCCATGGGCTACTGTGTGTAACCAGCAGCCAGTGTGAGTGGCCAGCAGCTGCCATGAGTGGCCATCCAGAAGTCAGCGACTGATCTGCCTCGCCCGGGAAGAGCGAAATGATGGTGCCAACTTGGGCCAGTGAAGCAACGTCCTCCGCAACTAGACTGAAGAACAAAAAGGACAGCAACTTGTCTGTTCCCCTTCCCCCAATCTCCAGCGCTGTCCCCATCCCTCAATTCCCCAATAAAAATCTTTAAAAAAAAATAAAAAGAGTTGGCTTGGGACGCCAGCTCTGAGCAGCAAGGCCCCGGTTCTGATCCCACATGAGAGCCAGTGACGCTGTGCCCTCTACAGCTAAGATGGTGAACAACAGCTTGACCTGGAGCTCTGCTGCTGGGAGTCGCAGGGTCGGCATAGGCTGCAGCCCCGTGATCTGCCATGAGCCTCTGTGAGCGGCCGTCCAATGGCCGGCAAGCGACTGCCTCACCCGGGAAGAGCACAATGATAATACCAACATGGGCCAGTGAAGCAACATCCTCCACAACTAGACTGAAGAACAAAAGGACAGCAACTTGTCTGTTCCCCTTCCCCAATTCCCCAATGCTGTTCCCCTCCCCCAATTACCCAATAAAAATCTTAAAAAAAAGAAACCCGAGCAAGATTCAGGATTGCAAGGCATTAGAAAGCATTGCCTAGTTAGAAAGTCTACTCATTCACACATACACACACACAGCTATTTTTAATAGCTGGTAGGCCAGAGAAAATCCAATTTCAAATGAATCAATCGATTAAAAAGAAACGGTCAGAAGAAAGGTAAGACTGTTGGAGAGACACAGAAACAAATTACAGCTGGATAACAGAATTAAGGGTGTGTGGAAGGAACTGGAAGAAATAGCAAAGGGATAGGGACCAGTGACTTCAAAGGTCTGTAATGATTTGATTCTTGCTTGGCCCCTTGACTCCAAAGAGCAGTTGGGAGGAGTGGGAATTGTATTTGGCAAATCATATTTTTGCAGAGAAATAAGCCACTTGTGGCCTCTGGAACAAAAGGATTATGCTTGGGTTAAACAGATGCTCTGGTTCAGGATGAAAGCTGGGGGCCAAGATATCACTGCCATGGAAGGAGGAGGAAGGTGGAAGCTGTTTTTGGTTGGCAAAGATACAACTGTACTTCATAATTTTCTGTTTCCTAAAATATTTTGTCTTCACAAAGAAATATCTCATTAAGTAGAATTTCCATCTTGAATACATGAAAAAAAAATCATGCATTTTAAACCTTATTTTCTATTTGGGAGAGAGAGGGTGGTGAGAGGGAGGTGGGGCTGTTAATCCAGCAACAATCTCTACAGCAGTGTCTCTTATTGGTGGGTTCTAGAATAACATCCATTTCTATGTATTTATGGAAAGACGTCCTTAACTAGGCCACATAAAGAGCCAGCGTATTTATAAATAAATTAAGGAGGTTGCAAGGCGCCAGCGGTTGACCCTCTGGCTGTGGCCTCCCCGACCCTGCCGCACAGCTTTAGTCTTGGTGCCTGGCCAGGTCTGCTCCATTGTGGATGAGAGTGCCCTGGCAGGGCGGGAGGGGGCGGAGCTGGCAGGCGGGCGCGTCACCACTGCGGGCCTGGGGCATTGACACTCGTGCCAAAGGTGGGCTTCTCCGCGGCTGGAGGCTGGCTTGGCTGCTCCAGGAGCCTCTGGCCTCTGACTCAGCCAGGGCAGGTGACCAGGCGTCGGTCATTTCATGGGAGCCAGCTACATTTTGCCCCGGTTCAGACTGTGCTGGGCTAACAGATGGTGGTGTTAAGATGGAGCAGGGAGGGCAATAATACCCCGCAGCTTGGTAACAGTGCAGGGCCTCAGGCCCCATCCAGATCTCCTGAATCAGAGAACAGCAAAATAAAGTTGACTGTGTAAGATAACAGAGCTGCTACGCCACCATGTGGGACTGGAAGGCAAGTCTTCTGAGGCAGAATCAGGAATAGATCGAGGCTTGCAAATCTGGAACCCAAGAGGACAAGGGTTGTGGCAGGAGCAGGAAACTGCATCATGCCTTTCAGATATGGTTTAATCCTTTTTTTATGTGCCTTTGCTTTGCCTCTGTAGTTAGTATGTTTTGTTTTAATGCTAGTAATTTCAACTATGCTTAAAGGAATTTGGAGAATGGGATTACGACCATGCATGGGCCAGAGGTTAAAAGCAGTGAGAGCAATATATGCCCAATTACTCTCTGCAGTGCATGGTGGTGACAGCAGAATTAGAAAGTGATGGTCAGGAGGAAGAGGCTCGTCTTTAAATTAGCTGGGTAACCCCTGGATGAGTTTACACACAAACAAACATCTCCTTAAAATGCAGATTCCCAGATGGTGCAGATGCTGCTGGTCTGTAGACCACACCTAGAGCATCAAGTCCTAGAAAAGGGCCCACTCCTTCCTCACTTCCTCCCTCCCTCCCTCCGCTCTTCCCTTCCTTCCTTCCTTCCCTTACTAAGGCACTGAAGATTGGGTCCCCTGGGAATCTGACTCTGAAAAACAGTTTAACATGTGGGATGTTTAATTGAAGAGTTCTCTTGGGATGAACGTGTTGGGAAAGGAGATGATGGAGGGAGACGAAGGAAGCAGGACCAGGCAGGGGGAGTTGAGCTGTGATGTGGTCCTGACAGCCTCATCCAACTCCACAAGAAGCTCTAGAGCTGGAATGGCTTTAGAAATAATTTGTCGGGCAGAACCTAACTAGTAAGTAGAAGAGTTGGGTTTTGAACCTAGGACTCACTGACTCCAAACCTGAATCCACGGAGGTTCATTATTAAGAAATATATCCTAACTGTAGAAAAACACGTTTATATCCACGTTAGGGCCTTGTTATTTCTGTGTCTAAAAAGTTCTGTTTGAATGTGTTGTAAGAGTCATGTTTTGCAAGCCCCAAATTGTAACAGAAAGCTAATTGTAAAGCAACCAGTGAGAGTTATTGATGGGAAAAAACAGCGGGAAGCATGTCAGTGTCGTTCTTTTTATAGCTTTTAAATTAGCAGTGACTTCAAAAGCCTTTGGATTAGCTGGCAGAAATGTCTGCATTTGGGAAGCAATCACTAGAGGGTGTTTTCAGCAGGCATGTGCTTTAGAAGTGTTCCTCCTATTTAAGCCTTGGCACTGAGAAAGGTTGGAAAAGAGGTGGAGGGACCTTAGCAGGAAGCTTCCAGCTGACATGGATTGCCAGGAAGACCCAATTAGCCTGTCCCTCTCAGTAGCAAAAGCCTAAGCAGAGGGAATAAATTATTTGTGGCAGTAGCCAAGGCTGCTGACAACTTTAGAGACTTCCCCTGTGTGAGATCTTTCCATGTCAAGCTGACTAGAAGGCCTTGAGAAGCTGTAACCCCAGGGGCCTGATGGATTCCAACCTGACAATAGAGGTAAGTTAAATTAAATGGTGGCTCATAACTCCTGAAAAATAAGTGTCAAGATATCCTTGTCTCCCATCCTGAACCTCCATTTGAAGACTTCCACTGGCCATCCTCCAAGAGCAGGTTCAGAGTTTATCTCTTTGAATCTTCTTACATGTCCTGGGACTTCTCTCTATCCAAATAGAGCTCATTCATCTGTTTGTCCATCCATCCATTCATCCAGCCAGCCAGCCAGCCACCCATCCATCCAACATTTGATGACTTTTTACTTCATGCCTGATGTTACTAGACCTTGGGGGTACCACGTATCTTAAAGTAGACAAGGTCCCCCTCATCCTCATGATACTTAAGTCTTGAGAACGATGTATAGACCACCTAATGGGCAGACCAAGTATGTGCCTGAGGCACCAA